AGAGCCTCCTGGGGATTCCAGTCTCCAGGTTCCAGAGGATCCCCTTTGTGACTCTCATTTCCTGAAGGGACTCCTCAAAGAAAGGGGTCCTGAATGTCCTCAGAGCCAGGCCGGGAGGCCCCAAGTTCAGACCTGGGGCTAGGGAAGGTGTCACTGCCCCCTGCCGAGTCCAGAGCAGGGACCCCAGCCTCAGACTCCTTTCTTAGCTCACGTACCCCCAGTGGACCCTCCTCCAGCTGCTCTCCACCCCTGCACACCCCTCCACTGGCCCTGCCCTTTTCTGGGGTGTCACTGCGCCCCCTTTGGCCCTTGCTATGGGGGCCAAACGATTGCCTGTCACCTGGCCCGGGTGCTGGGAGCTTCTTTCTGCCCTCGGTGAGCCCTCTTCTCCCACTGCCCGTCGGGGGCTCCCATTCACTGAGGTCCCACGATGCACCAGGCCTCTGCTGGCTGATCTCCATGGCGGGGGCCTCGGTGGTCCCTGCCCAGGACGGGGAAGCAAGGCTCTGCCCCGGCTCAGACAGTGCTGTGAGCCCCAGGTCGCTGTGGGTAGATGGTGTGGCTTTATTACGTTGGGTGGGGTTGCCAGCTACCCGTCCTTTAGCCCCACCCACTGCAGGCTACATGGGCGGCTCCTGGAACTGGTGTGCAGGGCTGGCCGGACCCCGGCTTGGTGACATTCTCCTCCTCAGCCTGGCCAAGACCTGGATGGGGTTCTGGGCACAGGTGGTCGAGTAGGTCACATCCTCCAGCGGGGACTTGCTGGATCGGCCGCAGGACTGCGGAGATGGCGATGCCCGGCGCGGGCCCGGCAGGATCCTGCTCGCACTGGCTGCCCTGCTGCCAGGTGAGTGCCACCTGCCCAGCAGCCTGAGGAGGACCAGATGGCACGAGCCCCTGTGAGCAAGAGGGCCCCGCCCCGCCCATCAGCCCCCCCTCTGGCAAAGCCTCGCTCACCCTGAGGACACCCTCTGGGCCTGGACGGCGGGTGCTGCTCCCTGGATTCCCTGGCTGGAACGGGCCCAGAGCTGGTCCTGCGGGATCAGCTGCAAAGAGAGCCAAGCTTGGAAAGACCAGGCCCCCTCCCCTGCTAAGAGGGTGGCACAGCCTGAGAGGGCGAGGGAGGGCCCGGCCAGTGCCCATGGCCGTTCCTCTGAGGGGCAGGGCTTGGGAAGCCTCCAGGGCCGGCTCGGCGGCAGGAAGGGTGGGAAGGTTTGCTTTCTGATTAGGCTCCTGGCTGCGCTTGAATAAGAGTATGAAGGGCCGGCGGGGAGGACTTGGAGCTAGAGGCCCTGTGACAGCCTCCCATCTTCACACACACAGGATGCTCCCAGCAGTAGCCTAAAGCCGCCTGCGTCAGGGGGCTCTCAACAGGTTCCCAGGGTGGGCTCGCGGGTGAGGGCCCAGGCTGCCCACCTTGAGGCCCCCCTGCTGGGCCACCTCCTGAATCTTGGACAGCATGGCCTGGAGCCGCCCGTTCTCCTCCTGCAGGACCCGGATGCGGATGTCGTTGGCCTGCACCTGCCTCTCCATGTCGTCCATGACGTTGCCGGAGCCTGTGCGCCAGGTCTGCCCCTGGTGCCCAGCAGGACAGGGCCTCGGAGGGCAGGCGTGGTTGGTGGCCCGCAGGCACAGGGGAGCCGGGCAGGGTCGTGCACGGGCCTCCCATCATCCTCCCTCTCCCGAGGCCTGGCCTCCCTCCCCACCCCCACCTGCTAGGAGGCTACATTATAGAAGCTGAGAGCTGGGTGCAGACCTAGCAAATAGACAAGCCCGTTTCTGGAAGGCCAGAGAGACAATGAATTGCCCAAGGCCACGCGGCCGCTCTTGGGCATGAGCCAGGGATTCGCAAGGATGCGCTTCCCCATCACTCAGGGAGTCATGCTTCCTTGGGGCTGAAATTTCCGGGGCGAGCCCCTGCCCTCTTTGGTCCTGGATTTGTAAAGCGGCTGCTCCCTGCCTGGCAGGACAGCGGAGAGGGCAACAGAGAGTCTGACGTGTAGTGATAGGTCAGCGCTCAGGATGACAACTTATCGTGGCCAGTTAAACTGCATGGATTTTCCTGGCGGCTCTGTGAATGCATTCACCCCTGGAGCTTAGAGGGAGGGCTGGAGGGGCCAGACCAAGGACCCAGGTCCTCTGCTGAAACGGGTCCCTAGCACTCCTGGGCCATGGGGTCCGGGACCCTGGACAGTTGGGGCTGTGCCCCTGATGCAGGCCGCATGGTGTGGTTTGGGAGATGCTCGGACAGGGGCCCAGGGAAGTCGAGCAAGGACTGGCATTTGACAGGTGGGGATGAGCAGTCTACATAGGAAGCCAGATCTGTGTGACCCTGGGCAGTTACCTCACCTCTGGCCTTCCCTGTCCCTGTCTACACAAGCTGGGGAGTTGCAGACCCCCGTGTCCCACTGCCCTGGGTCCCAGCGTGCCCCGTGCACCATCCCTGGGCCCTTACTTTGGATCTGGGTCTCGGCAGGCCTGTGCAGGTCCGGGAAGGTCACCAGCAGCCGCTCCCGCTCCCTCAGCGCCTCGAGCTCCCGTTCCAGCCCCGAGATGGTCAGCTGCAGGTCTGTCGCCGCCTGCTCCAGGCCTTGCTTCTCCCCGTTCAGGCTCTGCAGCAGCTCCTGGGACAGAGGGAGGCTCAGACCTGGCCCGAGGAACACTTCCTGGCTCCCTTGGGGACACCCACCCCTTCTAATCCCTAGACACGGGACAGGCCTGCAGGCACCCAGCTACCTGGGGGCTCCTCCCCCTCCCCCTCCCGCCCCCACCTGCTGGGCCTGGAGCTGGCACTGGCCCTGCTCCCTCTCGCTCTGCACGCTCTGCAGCTGCTCCTCCATGTGGGCCCGCTGGGCCTCGGCCTCGTCCAGGCTGCCCCGCAGCTCCTCGCGCTCCTGGTCCAGGCTGTCCAGCTGCTGCAGCAGGGCTCGCTGCTTGGCCTGCAGGGACTGAGCCGGGTGGGCAGGCAGGGAGGCCGTGAGGCCCGTGGGGCTCGGCTGAGCCACGTGGGACTAAGGAGGCTACAGTGTCCGTGACCTCTGCCCCCAGCCCTCCCTTCTGAACGGAGTCAGTGTGTGTGTGTGGGGGGGGGGGGGGGGGCCGGGGAAATGGCCCTTGCCCAAGGTTTAAAGGGCAGGGGCCAAGGGAAAACGGCAGGGGTAAACAACCTCACAAACCAGATATAAACTGATCCCATGTATTGACAACCCAGCACCGATGGAAACATATTGGTTAGGTCTCTCCTCATGCAATTTTGAGTAGAGTTTGTCTTTAGCTTGATTTTATGCCTATTCCCGGGAGACGGGTGTTTAGGGTATTTTTATT